AAAGTAGAAAACCACCTTCATGATACCTGTGATCTCTGACTGAGGGTTTAGTTTTTGTTGAACCAACTCACACAAAGAAAGCCTGGATGTGTGAATCTTGCTGCGTAGTGCAGCTCTCTGGTTTCTGTTTTAGCACAAACTGTAATATAGCTGCTGCTGTTGTTGTACGACTTTAGGTTTCAGCAAAAGGTTGAAAGTCTGTTTCTATCTCGTCAGCAACAAAAGGATACGTGTGAGATACTCCAGGATGGTGACGTCCCAGATGTAGTCGTAGAATGAGTCCATGGCGTCATGACTGCAGACAAGAGCAGATTACAGACGTTAGAAATGACTGTCGGTGATGTAATGTAGTGAAACGTGTCCTCCTGTGCCGTACCTGTTCTGCTCCTGAAGAGCTTTGAAAGCCGTCATGTAGTCGACTTCTCTCAGAAACTGGCACAGAACAGCAACCTGACGGGAACCAAACACGCAGCCTGATTTAACACATCTTACATCAAAGCTTTTCTGTCGCCTGAAACGGATTCTGAGCTTTATGTCGAGATTTCAGACGTGTAGTTTGACCTCTGACCTGTGTGTGGCAGTTCATCATTGAACAGCACTTGATCATCCTCTTCAGAACCTGAAAACGACAGATGTGGAGTCAGCAGGGAGGTAGTTCAGCCAACACAGATCTGGTGTGTTCTCGTGTTCAAACTTCATCTAAGTCCTTGTTCACAACTGTTGACAAAACAACGTCTGATGAATTGGCCGAATGTTTCTCACCAGAATCTGACATATTGATGTAAAAAGCAATTTTCCAGTCTCATGTACGTGGAGAAAAACAGATATTTTTGTTTTTTGTTGTGTAGAAAAATATCCATTTAAGGGTAAATCTATCTCAAATCATCAAAGCAGCCTTCTGCTCGACCATCTCTGGGGTTTTTGGTAGGAAATAAAACACTGGACATACGGTGATAAAGAAAAGTAAGACCAGGAATTGCTTTAATTTAATTTAGATTTTAAACTCAGAAGAATTTCCCAAATATCTTTTCTGGAGGTTTTAAAATGCCAGAGAATGATGTGCCGTGTGCATAAATGTAGCAGAAGTTGTGCGTTTTAAAATTAGCGTGGCTGTAGCCTGTAGAAAGCTGCTCATCAGGTGTGACGTATTAAAACCTGGTCAGTGTAGACGTCAGGAGGCACGGCTTTGGTGAAGAAGTCCGAACACACGGCTCCGGCCTGGAGGTAAAGGTTCAGAGCTGCCGAGTACTGATTGGTCACTGCAGAGACACAAAGCAGGAAGCACTCAGTAACTGTGGTCACTTTCTTTGCTGTCTATAGCAAAGTATTGAAAGATAGCTGCTATAAACCAATCAAATGTAATGTATTCGTGCTGCTTTGAACCTGATGCACATTTGAAAGCTGAATTTTCTGAGTTTGCACTGAAACAAGCACAGAGTCTGACGTGCTTCTTACCAAAGTAGATGTCTGCCTGTGTGATGAGCCACGACTGGTTGTTGGGGTTCAGAGTTAAAGCGTAAGAAACCAGCTCTTTGACCGTCACGGCCACGGCCTCCACGTCCACCGCCTGGATGCTGCACAACACAAACCATCGCTTTCAGGGTTTTCTGCTGTGTTAAGGATCAACCTGAACGACAAACTGTTTAAATGTTGCTATGCTTGGGCTGCATGTTGGTATAAATAAAGCTGCTCAGGGGATTTTGTCAACAGATAAAACAGAAAAGCAGTTCTTACTTGGGGAGAGTCGACGGCCAGATGGAGAGATGCTCAGCCGTCACTTCGTTCACAATGTCGTCCTGAAGACAAAACAAAAAGTGAAAAAGGTGCAAACAGCTGCAGCAGTAACACCACCGCCATCCTTATTTCATCATTTTTACTCGTTTCAGCACTAGAGGAGCACACAGGAGTCGTTTTTTTCTTCCATTTTCTACCATGTGCTGTCACTTCTACTAACTGAGCAGTGGAACTCACCCTAACGATGCTGTGGAGCCTCACAAACAGGGAGATGAGCGTCGTCAGCACCAGCGGCTCCTGTCGGGAAGAAGAGAAAACTCGTCACATCAGCAGTTGTGGCCAGTTTAAATGTTTCTCATGTTTCCACGGCGAGTTTTTACTTACTCTGAGTTTCTTGACGAATGTGATGAATTTGCTCCTGAGTGATTAAACGAAAACAAGGCAGGATGAGCATCACTGTGACGATTCTAAACACTATAAACTCCTCAGTGTTAGATGAGGTCTAAACCCATGATCATAGATGGTTGTCTCTTTATCCTGTCGACTGGACTCGACATCATTGTAAATGAGGGCTTGAGGTCAACTATTCCTCGATATTTAAATAAAGATTGATTAAATGATTGATGTGTGCGGCGTACCGGTGCAGGATGCCCATGGACGACTCCCTGTGTTTGATCAAACCCACTCGGCCGTCGCTGTTCCTCTTGTGCTGGATGGAGACGCTGCAGATCTGAACCACCACGTCCCACAGCTCCTTGGCGGTTCGCCGACTCTCCTTAGGACCGGGAAGCTCTTTGCACGTCGAAGCCAGCAGCTGGCCGAGCTGTCGGGAAGAAACAGGATGAATTTAACAGGAGGAAACTTCTGAAATCTTTAATTTATGCAAACATACAATTGAAACCAGAAGCTTACATACATGTATAAAAAGACACACAACTTTTTTTGTCTTTGTGGATAATGACTCTCTGACCAGCTTCAGCAGCATCTTCACAAGGTCTTTAGCTTCTGTTCTGGGGTCGATATGCAAATTTCAACCAGAACACTTCATCTCTGGACACAGAACCGTCTCCTTCCTGAGCCTATGATGGCTGGACATTCCCATGGTGGCTATACTTGATATAACTGTTTGAACAGATGCACGTGGAACCTTCAGGCATCTGGAAACTGTACCCAAGGATGAACCAGACTTGGCTGATTTAGACTTAAAATACATCCACAGGTGTGCCTCCAATTAATTCAAATGTTGTCAACTAACCTATCAGAAGCTTCCAAAGCCATGACATCATCATCTGGCCTCTCCCAAATAGTTTGAAGGCATCTTAGTGGATGTAAAAAATTATTCTGGCGTTTAGCAAATAAAAATAATGTTGGTGATCTGAACTGACCTAAAACAGGAAAAGTTTAGTCTGATTTAATGTCACACAGTGAGAAAAAAAAAAAGGTTATGTGTCTTTTTATACAGTGGATGTAAAGTTCTGGTTTCAACTGTATACACATAGCTTCACTATTATTTAGTATAAGAGAGCATTAAAGGAGCAGCTAAAGAGGAACCGACAGGCTTGAAGTGGCGTTACCTTGATGTACGGGTTGTTCATGACCAGAGACGGAGGAACCTGCAGAGTCAGATAGTCGTTCTCCCTCCAGTTCAGCATGAAGGCGACGCACTCTTCTCCAACCACCTGACGTAGAGGCAGATCTGGAGGGCAAAGACCAGGATTCACTTCAGTAAACCTCCAGAATCTGTGCCGGAGCTTAACATGTAGCATTAAGGAAGAGCTCGAATGCAGAAGTTATGTAGCAGAACAGTATCGGTTCAGGACTTGGTACCACTTGTACATGAACAACATGATGTTTGTACCGTATTGTTAACATTGTAGGAGCGGCTTCCACATGCTGACAGATGCTGGATTTTGTGTATTTTAACACACATTTTAACATTAAACTTTATAATCGAGCCCTTTCTCCACTGCAGAAGTATTTCATTCTTTTAAAATCTGCGACACCGGAGTCTGAATGCAACAGACCAGATCATACAGTTAAACCAGTCTGACTTACAGCGAACACACACTTAACTGACTAAAACAACGACAACACAGTTCATAGTTTGTGGTTTACAGATAATACTGAGCAGGCAGCAATAAAAATGGAGACAGTTTTATTCTCTGTTAGTGTCTAATTGTGATTTTCTATATTTATACAGTTGTCTTGTGACAGTATCGGCTAAATTTCTCAGTAAAATATCCAATAACTGAACCCACCAAGGAGGTTTTCTGCAAGAATGAAGGGAACTGAGGGATTTGATGCAGTTACTCGAGTAGAAATGCATTTATTGTATGATAAAAACTCCTAATTTACCCACTATTTATAACTAATTAGTCCTACTACAGATTAATGGAGACGTCTAACTATTAGTGAAATCTAAGCCATAATAGTCTGTCCCTGTGTCCTTAAGTACATGCTGCTACAGTGAATGCAGCGTCTCCTCGGTGTTGGCGTCCACCTACCGTGAATCCTCATCTCCAGGTAGCCCCTGACCCTGCTGACCAGGTCAGGCGGCGGTCGCTCCTTGCTGCCTTCGGCCGCCATCGTCTCGTGAGCTCGGACCTCCAGCAGCAGCATCTCGTTCAGCATCACCTGCCTCAGCTTCGGGGAAAACTCGGTGACCAGCTCCAGGCAGGCGGAGAACAGCAGCCGAGCGTGGACAAAGTCCTGAGCAGACAGGTCAATAATCACTGATTAGATTTCAATGCAGGACTGATTTACTCAGAGTCCCGATAGTGCAGACGGACCTTTATTGATATGCAGTGGAGCCCTTTGGCCATGAGGATGTAAACCAGGTCCCTGGTCAGGTTGTCTTTGATGCCGAGGATCACGTTGATGTAGTCTGGAGGAACCTCCCACTGAAAACACAGACAGTGACATACTGATTAGCTTAGTGTGTCTTTTTCATTATATTTAATCATAAATGTTACATTTTTCATCCTGAGTTCATGCTACAGGAGGTTCTGTCTGTTAGCTGCCATCAGACTGTTTAAAATGCAGAAATAAGAACTATTCTGGTGGAAGGAAACAGTTGTGTAATATAACATTAATTATTTCTATACAGATGTGACACATATTCCTGAGACTGTTCAGTATGTTTACATACATTTTTCTATTATATGTTGTACTTGAGATTTTGGATATTTTTTTTTGCACACTGTGTAATTTTTCTATCATTTTGCATGCTGCATATCATTTATACACGACACATTTTGGACATTGGATAGTACAAATATTCTTATTAAATCACTTTAAGTCATCAGTATGTGTTTTAGTGCTTCTGTGAAAAGTTAAAGTACCAAAAATGATTCATGTTCAGCAGTAAACGTGGTGTCTTGACCGTGATTGTTGCTGCTGGAATGAAGTAATTTTCTGCAAAAGATCAAAAATGTGTAATGTGTAAATGTGTGTGTATGTACAGTTGAAACCAGAAGTTTACATACACTGTGTAAATAGATATACAACCTTTCTTCCTCCCTGTCTGACATTAAATCAGACTAAACTTTTCCTGTTTTAGGTCAGTTTGGATTACCAACATTATTTCTATTTGCTAAATGCAAGAATAATTAGAGAGAATTTTTTTATTACTTTCTTCAAAGTCAGACGTTTACATACACTGAGATTACTATGTCTTCAAACGATTTGGGAAAACCCAGGTGATGATGTCATGGCTTTGGAAGCTTTTCATAGGTTAACTGGCACCATCTGAGTTAACTGGAGGCACACCTGTGGATGTGTTTTAAGGTGCACCTCAAACACACTGCTTCCTTTTGGAACATCTAAAGCAGGGGTGTCGACATCCGGTCCTCGAGGGCCGCAATCCTGCATGTTTTAGATGTTTTCCTTCTTCCAACACACCTGATTCAAATGATCAGGATCGTTATCAGACTTCTGCAGCGCTTGATGATGAGCTGATCATTTGAATCAGGTGTGTTGGAAGAGGGAAACATCTAAAACATGCAGGATTGCGGCCCTCGAGGAGCGCAGTTCGACACCCCTGGTCTAAAGAAATCAGCCAAGATATCAGGAAGAGGATTTTAAAGGCAACGTGACCAAATACTGAGGAAATGTATGTGAACTTCTGACTTTAAAGAAAGGAATAAAAAAATTCTCTAAAAAATTCTCTCTGGCATTATTCTGGCATTTAGCAAATAGAAATAATGTTTTTAATCCTAACTGACCTGAAACAGGAAAGTTTAGTCTGATTTAATGTCAGATAGTGAAAAAAAAGGTTATGCGTCTTTTTATACAGTGGATGTAAACTTCTGGTTTGAACTGTATGTGTGTACATATGTGTATCTATCTATCTATCTAGCTATCTATAGGAATTTAAGTAGGAAATGTCTATATTCTAAGTTATTTTAGATGCTCATGATACATAAAAGGTAAATAAACTCCACTGTGTCTCTGCAACATTCAAGCTGACTTTGTCTCCCAGTATCATCTTTGTGACTCTGACCTTGCTGTTGACCCTCCAGAAGGGGCGTTCGGCCATCCCGTGGAGTTCGATGAGGATCTGCCTGATCCTCCGCGGCTCCAGTGAAAGAATCAGCTGCTGCTCCAGCTGCCCGATGTTCACGCTCGCTGAAGCTGCAAAGAAAACAACCAAAAAAAAAAGTCAAACTAACAGGCAAGCAATGAAACGTGGCTTCACCGGCGGGGGAGAACGCTCAGCACCTGGGATGTCGTAGAAGGAAGGCAGCGGTTTGGCGCTGAGGTTGATGGTGGCCGACCTCTTCCTCATCTGCTCCACCAGAACCTTCCTCTCGTCCTCCTTCAGCAGCTCCATGAACAGCTTATGGGACGAAACCACAAACACCAGAGACAAGTCCTCCAGGTTTTCACACAGAGTCCTGCAGCACCGGAGGAGACACAAACATCAGTACGTTACGCTGAACATTAGTGCAGGTTAGTCTGCTTATCAGGCTCATTCTGCAGCAGAGAATGGTCTGACTGCACCTCAGTGTCATTCTGCTATAGGTGGGG